CTGGAAATTACGTCCCTTAAAATAATTAAACAAATAAGGCACCAATGTTTTTGTAAGATATTTACATCTTTAAAGGACATTCGGTAGACTGATTCCCCACTGTTGGTTCAACCCCAAAACTTGTTTGTACTCAAAATTAATTATGACAATGCATATTTATATTGAAACAAAATATGTTAAAGGGAATTATATTATGTAACAAAGGGCAAGGTCACCAGAGTTCAACTATGTTTTGTTAAATTAATGACACTGAGATTTGTTTAGATGTAGTCGTCTATTATTAACAAATTATAATTTCCAAACATGAACAGTTTTTGCATGAAAAATATTTATCTGTTTTCATAATTAGAATTTTGCTCACTTTCTTACAGCAGTTTTTCAACCCGCAAGCTTTTGGAGTTTCAAATCCGTCATGGGACATGGCTGCTAGTTATCAACAACAGCCACAACAACAACAACAACAACAACAACAACATCAACAGCAATACCAGTATGATTCAAACCAGCAGCAACAGTTTCCACAGACTCAGTTTCAGCAACAGCCACCACCACAGCAAACACAACAGCAGCAGCAACCACAAGTATCTCAGCCTCCGCAGTTCACACAAACTAATCCAAAACCGCCTCAATCCAGTGATGATAAAGAAGATAATGTAAGTGTATATACGACCTGAAATCTCTACTGAAAAAAGGGCATCTTCTGATTGGCTAAGACAATTAGCCAATGAGGAGTCATCTTTAGTACAAGTTGTTTTTAGTTCACTCCATATTTGGGCTTCAGTTATTATGTATGTGTGATATGATGTACACAGGTTTTAAGTAAGACCATGCTGCTCGCATCTAAGCTCATTGTTGAGAACTCTGTCTCTGTACTGAATGTTGAACATACTATAAATACTTTATTTTTGCTTGGAATTCATTTTTGCTATTTTCGCTGAAGGAGTGATTCAGTGAAAATAAAATCCAGCGAATATACCTTTTTTCCTATATTTTACATTCAACTCGCCAAAAATCAGTGAAAATAAATTCCAAGTATTTTACAGTAATATATAAAACTGAACGAATACAACTAATATCTCCGGAGATGCGTGTTGAACAACATTTCATATCAAGTAATGCTGTTCTCGCAACCAATATGTTTCTGCCTGAGTAGTGGCCAGCGCCAATCACCTTGAAGCCGCTGAATATTCATAGCGAGATAATGCACTATTCACACACGAGAGTCTTGTTCTTACCCATATCGTGTGTCCTGTTTTAACTGTGGTCATTGTTGCATGTTGTCTGTGATTAAACAAGTATGTTCTGTCGTCTTCTCATTCCATCGTTCCATTTTTTTCTGTTAAATTTCTTAGTTGTCCAGGTCAAGTTCACTAAGTTCACTGTCTTATGAAGTCAGTCAACATTTTAATAACAACGCCAGTACTCAGGTACATGCTTTTAATGTTTGTAGTTGTGGTACGTCTTTATTTATGTAAAGTATTAACCATTAGTATATTTTGTATTTAACACCTTACTAAAATCGTTGTAATTCTCTGGTTGTATCGATTCAAAATTCTGACATAATTTTATTTTCATTTAATGTGCGGGTGATACTGCACAACAAGTCCCGCAGTCAATACAACGTGCATTTGAACTTTGTGTAAACAATGTATTTTAAACAAGTTGTATACATTGCATGGAAGCCATATTTAACAAGTTGGCTGTTTCAATGCAAGTCTGTCAGACTTTTCATTTATGCATAACCAGATAGTTACAATACAACACTTTTAATCCCATAATAGTTGTAATTAGATGTAATACTTACTAACATTTAATAACTCTTTTCAATAAATACTCCCTAATCCATAAGGTAGCGACCAGGAAAATGTACCCTTTTAACCAATATATTTTCATGGAAATTAGGCCACTGCTGTTGATACAATGGCCTTGTGCCCTACAATTTGCTGACATGTGTGTATACAGTTGTATGCTCGGGGAGGGGCTTATGAAGTACGGTAATAGCAACATGTACATGTAAATTTAATACAAACAGCAACACACAACGTTATTATTAAAACTACTGGTTCTTATTACTATGTATTAAAGAGTATGCGAGCAAAAGTGCGAGCAAAACATATGCAAGTGCCACAATGGAAAATAGCAAAATTGAAACGTATTTATGGTATTTGATGTTTTCGGCTTTTTAGTCCCCGTTCGGACGTAGTCCGAAAACGGGGACTTATGGTTTGCCCTGTGTGCGTCCGTCCGTGCGTCCATCCGTGATCACCTGTATCTCGGACATGCATGGACCGATTAAGTTCAAACTTCACTCATACATCACACATTATATGGGACATATGCACATGCATTTTTTTCATGATCCGATTAACGATAGCCGAATAGCGGCCATTTTAAGGCCGAAAATGCATCAAAATCGCACATTTTCACCATTCCGGACCCGGATCTCAGTTATGCATGGACGGATTTGTCAAACTT